CCAACTGGATGATTATCAATCATTATATCGAAATATACTTGATCAGTGACTCTAAACGTTTCTGCCTGAAATGGTAATTTTTTTCAAGTATTCATGTAACTGTTACGTAATAATTATTTATTGCAAATCATAATAAAGTCAAATTCAAAATAAGTTGCAATTAATACCTAGACATTACTTCATAAAAATTAAACATTTAAAATTATGGATACTCTTTATAAATTTAATTTATAATATTATACTTTATACGATGTTCTCTAAAATGTTATAATATAATTTTTTATTAAGTATAATTAGCGTAATAAGTAATAAACGTAATAAGAACATAGTAAGTAATTAATTTAATAAAAATGATAAATTATTACGTGTAAATAACATTCATAAATATTTATTTACTTTTAATACTTACTTAAACATTCTAAAAATTTAAATAATTTTATTAAAAACAAGGAAAGCTTAAAAAAGTTTTTTATAAAAAGTATGCACTATGTAAAGTATAATCTGTAATAAGCATATTATAACCAGTTTATTTTAGTAACAAAGAAATTTATAACATAGTACTAATTTTCCTGACAGACTTTGCAAGAAAATTACATTCTTACCAAAGTTTTAATTTCGAACATCTTTAAAAATGCGTAGAAGTTAAAAAAAAATTGTTGTTAATAATATTTCGAAGTATGATAAATAGATAATTTAAGATCTATAAAGCTATAAAAAAGAAGATATACAAAACAATCTCAATATGTTTAAACATATCTTTATTATTTTATTTTATTATTTTATATTATTTTATAAGCGATTAAAATTTGCCGGTATTTTTCGTAAGTATATTTAAAAAATAAAAAAAAATGTAAATTTACAATTAGGTTTGAAAACGTACTATTACGTTACATTTAACTGGAATTACATATATTGGACTCACATAGCGATAAAATACAAGAAAGCATTATTTAAACAGTTATGAAACAAGTGTGCAGTTTACTATTTAGTAACGTTGTTAAAAAAAACATTGATTAAAGCAATATACCATCATATTCCCGCCCGCACATTGAAATTCATATTGGAAAGTTGATATGATGCAAAACTTATTATTGCAAAGCATATACATTTTTGTCTATCTAAATTAGTTTATGTAAAAATTAAAAATATTTCTTTGTATATGAGCGTTACTTCGTTCAGTCTATAATCGCAGGCATGTTTAGCATTTGAAATATATAGTTTCATTTTAAATTACATAGAAAAAATGCTGCTAGTACAACCGCAAAAAGTGAAGTTGGGAGAACGGCAGCACTTCACTCGCAAAATCTCAGCAGGATATTAATGTTTATTATTCAAATTTTTACACTATAATCTTTGACATATTCTGCGACTTGTAGAGCTATTCCGAAATTTTCGAAGCACTTTACAACAAAATGGCGGATTTTTAATAATATTTTGTCGAGTTCAGTGATTTTTTTTTTCAAACGTTAAAGTTGTATTACGAATTTTCGAACTAAAAATTTTCATTAATGCTACTATTTTTTACTTTCATTAATGCTAATATTGTAGTTGAATGTTTGAAGTTTTCTGGAAAGTTTTACATCTTTAAATATAACAGTAAAAAAATTATGACAATTTATACGTAGCGTCAGTGAAACGTTCGACGCGACATTGCAACGACATATATATAAATTATCATAACTTTTTTGCTATTATTTATTTTGTTTTAAACAAAACTTTTTTTGTTTATGCCTACCAAATGTGTCACTAATATAAAAAAGAACATTTAAAGAAACTGATTTCTACAACCCCTCGCGAAACGTTTTTCTCACTACTGGATGAAACAATACTTATGCTCTTGTTTTAATCAAATTTTATTTGTTTTCAATAGTATTGTTGTTAAATCAATAAATTGTTTTCAATTAAAATTATACTGTTGGAACAACATTATGTTTTTCAGCGTATACACTTTGTAAAATATGTAAATGGTTTTTCCAAGTGTTCACAAGTGTTTCGTCTAGTCTCATTGACAGAAAAGGCTCGATGCTTGCCTACAAATTGATTGCTTACAGTATCGTTTGCCTACATAGTTGCCAACAGTTTGTTTGCGAATAAAAATTATTGCCTGTATGCACTATTGCGCACAAATATAAATTTAAGAGAAAAAGTGTGTACACACGACACTATTGCGCACAAATATAAAATTAAGAAAGTACGTTTGCATATATATATATCATCCCTGGTTCATAAGTCGAAATCAAATCGATATCAATTGATTTTTCGGAACATTTAATTTGATATTGATGACATTTTCTATTGACTTTCGAAGAAGGTCGACATTTTATCAATAATAAAGTATTAATCTTCTTTTGAAGATCTAGTAGATATCAAATCAAACGATCTTAAAAATCAATCAACTTGTAAACCCGGGATTGCTTACAAACACTTTTGCGCATAAATATAAAATTAACATTAAATTATGTATATAAGAAAATAATTTGTGTTTTTAAAGTAGAGAATTTGTGTTTCAAAACAGAATTTATGTTTTAAAGCAGAGATTAATACTAGTAAACAATTGATCCGTAGACAATGATGTGTGCAAACGTGTCTTAATTATGAGCAAAAATGCTTGTAGGCAATCGATCTGTAAGCGATAACATTATATGTGCAATGCAGTTTGTAGGTAATAGTATCGTGTGTACAAACATATATTTTTCTCTTAATTTTATATTTGTGCTCAACAGTACATGTAGACAATCGAGTTATAGATCGTCGCCGTGTTAATTTCTTATATAATACATTGTAATGTATCAACAGTAAATCCGCTATTGCCTTTACATGCCTAATATTTTTAATGTAACATTTTAATATATAATATATTGCATTTTTGGATGTATGATATATTTAAAATTTATATAATGGTCTTTTTATTACTATTGTAAAACCACTATTTTTATTTAACATTATTTAATACGGAAGATATTAACTTTTACTTTTTCAATAATATGTTTTATTTTATGTATAAATTAAATTTAATTGCAATGCAAGAAGTTGCGATTACATTTCGATGTTGTTAGGTTTCCAAGTATACTTATAAAAATTTTGAATGTATTTATGTTGCAAATCCTATTAACATTATTTGAAATGTGCTTTGAATATTGTGAGTGCTTGAAGTTAATAGAAATAATATAGAATAGAACCCTCCCTCCCATTAATTTAACGCGTATTCGTAAGAGCATCTATGTAGTGGGTTACGTTTAAAGTAACATACACAATTACAGAAGAATGATTCGTGTGTATAGCTTATAACACGTGATAGAGGCACGTGTTTATGTATGCACATATGCATCTATTAAAGAGACCAAAGAAACCTTATGACATGTAAAGGTATGACAAACACATACGCACGTTATTAGACCTATTACTATTTTATCTATTTTTATTACTACTGTATATAAAAAGATAATCCCCAAGCTCTAAGTTAATGATAATTTATCGTAAAATAACATTCAAGTTTTATTATGTTAACATATGTTAATGCGACGGATATAAAACCTTTATTGTAGAATTTATAAAATTATGCTTTTTCGATCAAAATTCACGAAAAAATGTCCATAATAAAAATTTGTTGTCGATCAACATAATTTCTCACGATAAATTAAATTTCTTTTTTTAATGAGAATTTATTATACATTGTAAAGGATAATATTGAAATGTCTTAGAAATACTCAGTCGCAAATTGATACAAAATATACAAACAATAAAAGAAAGAAGCGTTCCTTTAATGCGATAAACAATTAATTTCTATACTAAACGTTGAATTACGTATTAACGGTATCCAAAAATGCAGTTACGGTTAGGGAATATATAATAAAATCGTCTTAAATACGGACAGCAAACGGTACCTTAATGGTCGAGGTAATAGCCACGAGAATGATGATCGTCAATAGGCACTTCATACTTTTACGATTTTGTCCCAAATGATGTCCTGATATAGACGTTGCAGTACTGTTTTTTTATTAAACTGCAATCACGATTACGACGTAGCGGTGCAAGAACGATGCAAGAAGTATGTGCAGAAGCCGCGTGTCTGCTCGCGATTTACGCCGTCGATTATCGTCGTTGGAGTTGCGTCGGCGCTCTAAATTAAATAAAGTAGCCGTGCATCAATGAACCTATTGCTATAAAGAAGTCTTGCAACAAACAATAATATTTAAAGTCTACAAATACTTGTATTACTTAACAATGAACAATATTATTTTAAATATAAATTTAAAAAATAAAAACTTCTGGCAATTATTTATTTGTATAATTATTTTGTGTAGTTTCCTTTATTTATGTGGAATTCTGTAGATAAATTATATAATTATAATGAAGATAAATTTTGTGTGCATATCCAGGTAGCACAGAGAGTTCGAAAATAATTGTTTTTTGTTTCTTGTCTCACGAAATGATTTCCTGTTTCATCTCATTTAAATTCTAAATGTGTTTTTGAGTCTTAAAAGATTTCACCTATATTATGAAATTGTGCGGAATAGATTTCGATCAGAATTATTTAATTATTTCCTAAATTTTTATTATGTTTTTTTAGGGAAAACAAAGTAATTTCGATTAAAATCTATTTCGAATAATTCCATAATACATGCCTAGAACGTAGTATTTTATCTTGTAATTTTTGGATGTCGATTTGATGTTATTAAGCGTATAGTAATATATAAAAGTTTTATATAAAAATATCAGCAGCCGACGCGTGGTTCGACTGTATGAGATACACTAAATAAGAAGAAGACTGTTTAGCTTTATTGTCTTTCTACAAACAGTACATATTTATTTTGATATGAATATAGAAACAGTACATGTTTATTAACAATACATATTTATTTCGATATGAATTTGTTACGGTTGGATTCGGCAAACTCCGCATCTTCGATCGAGTAATTCCGTTATACTCCCGATCAGCGAACGTGTCGCGTATTATAAAAGCTGGGTATATTCTGTTCTTAAGAACAGTTTCAGCTAACATGAGGCACGGTGGAAAAGATCACATAAAATGGGTGGCGTTGACAACGATAACAATCGTTGTCCTCGTCGTTGATGCGACCGTGAATCTTGAAAGAGGCGAATCTGTGGCTTGCGAAAAAACGGCTAAACAAGATTTTAGAGAGAATTTTAGTAGGAAAGTTTTTTACGTCGGTGATCAAGTGTGGAGAATCTACAAGCACAATGATTCAGTAAATGATTTGGTGGAGCAACACGATCAAAACGGTTGTACATAATAAATAAAATTTATATTAAAATATAAATATTTTACTGTATTTCAAAATGATATGTATTACTAAGAATTTTAGAGGGACTACAGCTATAAATAGAGTCTAACAAAATCTTTTTTTTTAATGTAGCATATCAAATATGGTCGAACCATCCATTGACAGTCGATATTTTCGTTCGAAGCCAGATGCTTTATAATGTCGATTTACTATTGAACAATTGCAGAATAAAATATGACGTTTTGATCAAAGATGTGCAAAAAGCGATCGATGACGGGAATGTTCGACTTACAACCGCAATGCAAACAGAACTTGAAGGACGCAAAGGTTTGGGATTTTATTACAATTGTATTAATAAAATATCATTTTTTAATTGCTAAATCATGAAATCAATATTACTGTATTATTCAACAATATAATCGCAGGGAAAATAAAAATTTCTTCAAAGATAAATAATAGTAACAATACTATTAATATTTACATATAATAACATTTATTGATATATTCACGCATCGTTAAATGCTTTTAATAATCATTATTAAGTACTTACACTTCGCATCAAATTATCGCAGCTTATCGTATATGCTTCACAATTAGTCTTGCTCTTTATCAATTTTTTTTACTTTTTGACAATCTTATTAATAATGAAAAAAAGCAATCAATCTTTATAGTTATCTTGTTTTATTGATATTCATAAGAGTTATAAAAAAAGCTATTGTTTGGTTGACAATTATTATTAAGAGCTTACACTTCGTATCAAGTCATCGTTGCTTATCGTTCATGTTTCATGATTGGCTATCACTTTTAATTTATCATTTTGCGTCACTTTTAGACAATTAATAATAGAAAAGAAGCAATAATCGATCTTCATAACTTGTTTTTCACTTGTTTACGTAAATGGAAGAAGCTATTATTTTATCAATCATGTAGCAAAGAAAGCTAATTAAAATGAATTAATAATTCTTATTCAGAAATACATTCAAAAATAATAAATTATTGCAAATGACAACTTGTTGTTAATTTTGAATCGGACTAATTAATTTGAATGGTCTCTATTTATTTAATTTATTATTTATTTAAAATTGCAAACTAAATAATTAAAATAATTTTTATAAAAATAAATTTAAGATTCCATTGTTTTAATTAAATATTCTCAATTGTGTCTCAATTAAATTAAATTATTATAGTATTTGTAATAATTAGGACATCATGTAGAAAATACAGTAAATACTATAAGTCCAACATTGTACATGAAAACTATTCTAATGTTGATGTAAACATACTTGGTAAAATTCTTGTCTATTATATAACTTTAATATAATTCGGACAGTTAATCTAATATTCACTGTAAAGATTAGTAATACATTTTATTATTATTTATATGTCGTTATCGGAAAATTGTGTCATTTGATGTAATGCGTGTATGTGTTAAGTGTATATGAGAGTCATTGTTAAAATCATAAACTGGAATACACATATAAATTATATTTCTAAAATATTTATATTTCTAAAAAGAGAGAGAGAGAAAAGTTAATACATTAATTAATAATTTCAAATTCTTATACATTTTCAAAGAAAAACAGTTTAAAATGAATCGAGGTTATTGACCTTGTGTGAATCCCACTTAGTAACCCGGTTCCGCTTCAATGCTGATTAACATTAACAGTTATACTTTACTTGTAAGGCGTGTGTAAAACGCGTAGTCTTCGCACGTACGGGCGTTCAGCGACGTTTCGTCGTTTTCTGTGGTCGTTTGCGTAGTCGGTTGATCTCATCTCGATGCCGTTATCCAAGACGGACTCGGCAAGGTTCGGTTTTCAATTCGTGCAAGAAATTATTACATTTGCAGACAATATTGGAAAAGTCGAAAAATTGCTGAAACTCCTGAAACGCGAATTAAGCTATGGGAATAAATATGAGCATTTGGGAATTTTTATAATGAGTGCATCGCTTCTGTCACCGAGTATTCAGTAATTTTTTAGCTCGTTACGCTTGGTGGCAGGGAGTCAGACGTAGATTTCCACGTCCTCGTCCTCTTCGTTATCCTGCTAGTGTATATGGTGGGGGTGCTCCGTGGCATTTTAGGGGTGAGCTTTCAGACGCGCATAATCCGTTTCGTCGATTCAGAATGATATATCAGATGTATATACTGTAAGGAGTATCGAAAAAAAAATTTTGTAAACTGACGATTGAAAGGAAGAAATGCTTGCTTTGCGTTGAGCTGAATCTACGAAGCGATTGCTATACAAGCTCACGAGGGTATGGAACGTGCAATCTTTGAATAATCTTCAAGATATATTCATCAGGTCATCGTATGGAATGGACCAGCTACCATGATATAAATGACATTTATGGTTACTTGGATTATCTCGCGAACACTTATCCTGATGTCTGCTCCGTTCAATCCATCGGTAATTCCATTGAAGGACAGCCCCTCAAGGTATCCACATCTAATTTATTTTAATAAAAAATTTGATGTTTAAGATCTTAATATTTTTATAAATGTTAAAAGGTTCTAAGGATTAGTAATGGTAAGACGGAAAATACACCTGCGATATGGATTGATGGTGGCATACATGCCAGGGAATGGATCTCACCAGCAGCTGTGACTTATGTCATTGATAATCTGGTTGAAAATAGCGATGTTTTACAAACAGACTATTACATTCTGCCAGTTGCCAATCCAGATGGCTACAGATATACCTTCCTATACGATCGTTTATGGAGGAAGAATAGAAGGAAAGGCACTGTTTGCTCGGGCGTAGATTTAAACAGAAATTTTGGTTATCGTTGGGGTGGAAAGGGAACTAGCAGTAACATGTGCTATGAGACATACAGAGGTTCTAAAGCATTCTCCGAGCCAGAAACTAACGCTATTCGAAATTTCTTCGAGAACAGTTTAGCAAATTTCAAGGTTAGTTAAAATATTTTGCATAAAAATCCGCGAGTTTATATTTACTTTGCATTAATTATTTTATTCTTTTAAATACATCAATTATAGCAATGCTATCAGCAATTATTCTTAACTTAATATTGTAAACATAATAATATTTAGATCATACAGATTTTCCTTAATTCAAGATATCTCACAAAAAAATATATATATGTATATTTTTTGTAAGATATTTATAATAACGTTTTATAACAATCTCAATCCACAGACAATTAAATCTCAGAAATTAACTTTATAAATTTTGAAATATTCCTTTCATGCCACTATAGCACTTTATTATTTCTTTCTTGCAGGCATATATATCGTTTCATTCATATGGCCAATACATTTTGTATCCGTGGGGATATGATCAGCGTTTGCCGCCTGATTACCGAGATCTTGATGCGGCAGGGCTTGAAGCAGCTAGATATATGAAGTACGAAGGAGGCGATAATACAGAGTACACCGTAGGAAATAGCGCGATAACGTTGTATCCTGCTGCTGGCGGTTCTGATGATTGGGCTAAAGCTCTGCTCAAGATCAAGTATGCATATACAATCGAACTGCGGGACACTGGACGACACGGCTTCCTACTGCCACCTCAGTATATTATTCCGACAGCCAAGGAAGCACTGGCCGCAGTAAAAGTAATCACGGGTACTATCAGGAAATAGTAAATAAATTGTTAAATATACATTTGTAAAATATATTTGATTGGAGAATTTGACTAGGGAAGTGAGTCTTTCAACTATTTGCCTTGCTACTGTATTTTATAAACTGTATCTTTAACTTTTATCATTCGGATAGTGCATTGTTATTCAGAATTGTTTTTTTTTTGTGATATTTTATAAATGTATCTTTATATAATCGTTATATAATAATATTACCAATCAATGGCATAAAATCTGAAAACAATTCTTTACAGTGCAATAGTTTGGAATCTATTGCATTTAAATTTGTGCTAAAAGATATAAACTGAAGGTATATGTAATTAATTTATTTTGCATGTTATTGCATACTTATATATTATTATTATATTATTATACCTAGTTAGATATTTTAATAAAATCTTGTTTTTTAAAGAATACATAAATTTGTCATGTTTCCTGAAAATCATACGGTCTCTGTAGAATAAATAAAAAAATATTGATTTCGACTCTGACTGAAAAAAATGTGACTCCGTTAGCTTCTCTCTCTCTCTCTCTCTCTCTCTCTCTCTCTCGTAAGACTTATCTAAGTTTCGATTTCCGTTTCGTCTTCGACCGAAATTGAATGACAACCGAATATTCGTTTTTGGCTGGAGATTAAAATATGGTTTCGATCGGACTCTAATATTAATGTTCTTCAGTTTGACAGAGTAAATTTAAGTGATACTTAAATATTATTTGTTAAAGTTAATAATAGACAGTTAAAAAAAGTTTTGTTATCTACAATATGTTACTATGCTGCATATCATTTCGAGTAATAACAGTAATTTTGTTTAATTTAAATTAAACGAATAAGGTGTCTACGTATTCTAACATATGCAGGCAAACTTAGCATACATTGTTACTGCATGATTGAATATTCGATTATAATTTAACCTGACCAAAAGCTTTATATTATTTAATATACCTAGTTAGAGTTAGAATATATTAAAGTAAATATATCTAAAACAGTTTACATTCGTTTATCTGCAACAGTGTTTTGTTATTTATCATAACAGAATAACTTTAGAAAATATAAATTTTGTTCCAAAATACCTACATATCTTTATCAATGTAACACACTAAACAACTGGGCAAACTAGCTACAATGCAGTATGTTCGTATTTCACTAAGATACTATAAAAAAAAACTATATAAGAACATTTCTGGCATATGAATATTAAGAAAGTTTTTTCTCTATCACATTAGAATAGTTTATTCATAATAATTAACTGTTAAAAATTCGAATGCATAAACAAAATAATTCTTCGGAGACAATGTCTTGAAATAAGGATTCTTGATGAAAGTAAATGAATGTACTATGACAATATAATTTCATCTCTGATTTTATATAAATTAATTCAAGATAAAATAAGATAAACAATTATACATATATATACGGAATAAAATATTAAAAACATTTAAATAAAATTGTTATAATCTAAATCGAGAGAGAGAGAATAAGCGTTAAATCAATCAAATTATCGATGTCTTGTTACATCAACAGGAATTTAGAATGCTGGTTCGACGTCTCTTCAACTAATTATTATATACTATTATATACTAACTGAGCATTGAGATATGTAAGTATATTTAAGAAAAAAAATTTGTTATTGTTACCTGTTAAATAAAATAAATAAGAATAACGATGTCTTTTGATTAAATGTTTGGTTTATCTAATAAAATTCCTGTTTAGTTTTTGCGTCATGTAGGATAGAAATAAAAAGACATTATTTAATTTATGCTGGATATCTATTTTATGTTAAATAACGTGTAACGATTTCTTATTTAATATTATACATTCATAAGTCGTCGATATTGCCATCATTATTGACTCATCTTCTGCTGAATCCAAGGATTGAAAGAGGATACTTTAGTGAATACGGATGGCGCGCCTGAAATACCACAAGGTATCATACCCCAAGATACAATTCCAACAAGTATCGGTTTTCCATTGATAATCTTAAATAGTGGACCACCGGAATCACCCTAAAAGTATATTAAAAACAATACATTAAATTGTTATACATTAATTGCCAACAATACTACTATCATTCATTAAATTTGCTGAATATCTGGCACATACGCTGCATGCAGAGTTTAGTTCGCTTGATGATAATGGCCCAGTGCAGACATTGCTTTTATCATCAAGAGGAGCAGATCCCGTCATTTTAATGACGGTTTGGTTGCAAGATTTGAAATTCATAATAGTCATCATAACATGTTGAAGTGTAGATGGCATTACTGGAGTATTAGTAGTCGAGGTAGAACCCCATCCACAAAGCCATACCTGTCCAGTTGGTTCACTGTTTAGTTCGGGTAACGCGATAGCTTGTACGTTCTCATTCAAAGTCAATGGTGTAGCTAACTTAAGCAGAGCGATATCATATGGGCCAACACCACTGAAAGTTAAAAAATACGTATTGTGTGTATATATGAAATAATATTCTTTTTTATTAATTATACAGTTTTAAAAAATATTCGTTTAAGTTAATGTGTTAATACTAAATACATGTTAATACTAAAAAAATTGTAGTATACTAAAAGAAAAGATTGGCTGCTGCAGCAGATTAGATGGTAAAATATGGCGCAGCATTTTTAATTGGCTGCCAATTTCTGGTTGTAGCAACCAATTCTTGGTTGCAGCAATCAATTTTTGTTTGCGTTAGTCTATAATCCGCAATGTTAGTATAGAATGTTGACAGTCTAACCAAAAATTCATTGCTGCAACCAATTAAAAATGCTATGCCATATTCAGCCAATCTTTTCTTTCATTGCATTAGTGAAAGAATATAGTAGTAACTTGCAGAATTAATAGAATATATGTGTATATCATAACAAATCTCAAAATATAATTTGTGCGTCATTATTTATTTGAGGTATAGTTTTCCAATATCTTATGTATCAATATTAATCACGATATTAATGGTGTGACATTACATTAGAGTAATAGTAGTTTCGATTATACAAATAATTTATTTTACAAATAAAACTGCTGATTATTATTGATGCAAGAGCTATTATGTTCTAGATTATTTCTATATATAATTATAAATTAATTATAAATACAACATTGATTACATATTAAACAAATATTATTCAAAGACGAATTAATTTAATTGTTCGTGTTCATTGCTTTCAACGTTTCACTTACCCTTTATAATTTTCGTGTATGATAAATTTGTCCAGTTTTACTATCTGTTCGGTAGTCTCCGTACGTTTAACATCGAATTTTCCAGCCTTAACGATTATTTTGCTTGCGGAATAAGTGTTATAAACACAATGTGCTGCTGTTAAAGCCCATTGTGCATTCAGGATGGATGCACCGCAGAAATGCTGATTGCCAGAAAATAAGCTCTTCACTTGAAGGGAAAGGATAAATTTGTATAATCCTTTCGGCGCTTCGTTACCTCCAACCACACGAGTCTCAAACGAAGATGAATCCGACCAGACAGATGGCCTCTGGATGTTGAGTCGGGGCTGCACTACAATTTAAATTAATAGTGTTTAAGAAAACGGACTTACTGAAGAAGTTGATCATAGAGAGAGAGAGAAGAGAGAGAAGAGAGCATATCAAAGCTAGCTCTTTATAATATTATATTATATAATATAAAATTTTATAAGAGAAATAATATTTTATAAGAGAATTTTTGATTAGAAACTAAACTCTTTGCTTTGTTATTTGTACCCAATGAGAAGTAACGACATCGATTCGTTAATAACGATGTTGATTCTCACTTGTCAATTCTCACTAGGTACTACAATGTAATAATTTAGTTATTATTTATTTAAAATTTTTTAATTAACAAGAGAAATTTTTTATAATGATTAGTGACTATTTTTTAAGCAAAATTGAATACAAATTATATCTACCCGGGAAAAA